ACAAAGACTATGGCGGACACTCATTAATTTTATTTACCATTGCTAAATTACCTTTATCCATATGTGATCACTGTGTATATTTGTAGTAATTTCTATTTTTTTCCTTTTTCATTTTGCAGGGTGTTTCATTTGTTTTTCAAATGCAAAAGTTTAATTAAAACAACAACTCTTGGATTCTTTGTTCCAAACACCAAAGTTAAACACATCCATAAGAAAAACGTCTACTCTACGTAGTGTTCAGTATCCAGTATCAATATTCTACATTTATCAAAGACCTAAATGATTCTAATAAAACAGGTTAGTGTGCAGTGATAAGCCATTTTGTGTTGGATCCCTCAGAAGCTGTCCAGCATCTCCGTGCTGTGGACCTGTATGCCTGAAACACAGAAATATACAAAGAAAACATCAATTTGGCATTTAACTTTTTCTACAACAACAGTTAGTATCAAAAACAGAAAATATTCTAAAAAGTTTTAATTAGAATTCTGCTTAGAGACATTCATGACTCACATTTAACATCTGTTGATGATAAACAAAATTCACATGATGCAGCTCTTTGTAGTCAACTTTAAAATAGACAATTGTATCTGAAATACTTTGTGTTTAGTAACTTTTTGTTCCTTTATAGTTGTGCAGTTTAGCTTTTTCATTATTAATAAATAAAAGTATTTAGTACGCAGTATGCAATTTTTAAAGTATCAAAATAATTAAAATGGGGAAAATATTACAACTGCTGTGAATCAATTATGCTGCCACAGCCCCACCTAGTGGGCAACTTTTGTTTCTTATTGTCCATTTTTCCTTAGTGGGACGAGATCGCCCCCGTGACCTGACTCGCTTCTCCATATAGACCAAGTAGTGCTCGCTGCAGAACCACAAAGGCAGAGCTGCACCAGAAGGTGGAGCTGCACTAGAGTCAGCCCTGCCCATTCCATCAGAGTCAGTCCGATTCCTTCCAGTTGTCAGACTTAATAGCATTCTGGAACCAAAGAGGGTGTTACAGCTAGTATCATCTAAAGAGCAACATTGAGGACTGAGTTGAGAGGTTAATTGAACAGTTTTTGTAAAGGTTCCATATAATTAAATAGCTAATTTTTGGAACTTTTTAAAAAAAGTGGGGTGACGGTGGCACAGGAGTTAAGTGCTCACCCCGCAGTCAGAAGGTTGCAGGTTCGAGCCCCGCTCAGTCTGTCGCTGTCGTTGTGTCCTTGGGCAAGACACTGGGCAATACACTTAACCCACGTTGCCTGCTGGTGGTGGTCAGAGGGACTGGTGGCACCTGTGCTCCGCAGCCTCGCCTCTGTCACTGCGCCCCAGGGCAGCTGTGGCTACATCGTAGCTCATCCCCACCAGTGTGTGAATGGGTGAATGACTGGTTGTGTTGTAAAGCACCTTGGGGGGTTCCAGGACTCTAGAAGGCACTATATCAAATACAGAACATTAACCATGTTATATTGTCATTTCCTCATAAGAAATACCCCAAAGCCATTTTTGGCCTCATTCACACATTTTCCTCCCATCTCAGCTTCAATTTGGTCTCCTCCCCCTGTATATTCTGTGAATTTTCTTGCAAATTATTTCTGAAATGACTTCTACTGAGGCACCACCAGAAAAACCATACATCCCATCTACAAAGATGCACTGGATGGCACCATTACATGTGACGTCACTTGCTTCTTATCAGATGTAGTGGTGAAGTGGTTATAGAGTCAGATTGGCATGAAGTTTTGCTCAGGTTCGCCTCCCGGTAGCGGCATAAACTTTTTTCTTCCTTTCTAGCTACACTTGCCAGTACTACAAGTATGTTTACAACCATTTATTGGTATACCGTTTAAAATATAATGACTAATGTGTTTGTTTGTTTTTTATTTATTTGTTTATTTAGCCAGTGTGAGTTCATTTGTGAGCAGAGTTTCAACTAAAATGCTGTTTAGGAACGACCAAATTCAAGGAACTTTTATAGACATAAATATTTTGCAGAAAATAAACATTACAACTAAAATATAAAAAAATAAAACGAACCGAGGACAATATTTTCCTGATATAGGGTTTAGTACTCAAGTAAGGTTAAAACAAGTATCTGATTAGAAGGCTACTTGAGTACTGAGTATCATCTGATCTAATATTTTTAAAATGATGGCATCAAACAGACAAAAAATAAGAAGTTATGGGCAAATATTGGTATTTTAAAGACTAAAGGGGAAAAAATGTAAACAAATAAACAACATAATAACAAAATAACAAATTTTAGGCAAAATTTAGACACAAACTGAGGACAATATTTTCCTGATATATGGGGTTTATTTAGTTGTCTGAAAATATAACACGTTTAAAAAAATACCGCGATAATGCCGAAAACCGTGATAATTTTGGTCACAATAACCGTGAGGTTAAATTTTTACACCGTGACAACCCTAATGGATACTTAGCATCCCAATGTGGGGAATCTGTATGTTCATCTTAATGAACATAAGTGAGTCCTTTTCTGATGATCTCAAGTTCTTTCTCCTCTGATAGGGTCATTTCTCTTCCACTATGGCAGCCTCCACATTTTGGCTCACAGGCTGCTCCAACGCTCTCCCATCTCCACCATTCAAGAAACTCACGGTTGGTCGTGGTCGTATGTTTGGTTGCATTGGGAAAGCTGGGATGTTCCGGGATCTGATTTATTAATAACTTCCTTGTATTTAACAGCAGCCATTCTCATTGACCTGGCAAAGTGGGTCTTTGACTCTTGTGCTGTCACCTCCACGTTCTCAAAAAGATCTGGATGAGCTCCTCCTACAGTCCAACCGAGTGGGCTTTGCCACAAAACAAGATCCCCAACATCTTATACCCTTTGTGGGGCAAGTCTTCCCTCTCTGTGACTGATGAGAAGTTCCACTTTTTTGAGCCTTCTTACAGGGTATCCACGGGTCCTTAAAAAGTCTTAAAAAGTCTTAAATTTGCTTTTCCAAATTTAAGGCCTTAAAAATCCTTAAAAATTACTAATAATCCTTAAATACAGTTTCCAAAGGTCTTAAATTACCAAAGACCCAATAAACAAGATTATTTTATTTCAATTTTCATGAATTTCTAGTTAGTGTTCAGCATTTTTTGTGTACGATGTTGGCGTAAGCGGAACCATACTCATTCAGTTGGTTATGAAAGGGGGCTATTTTAGATGAGCACATTAGCTGTTTAAGCTAGTGGGAGATTGCACCATGGGGACGTGCAAATTTTATGGTAACTGGATGGCTTATCCCACTTTCGCAACGTGGTTCGCACCGGTTCCAGGCAATAGCTGGAAATTATAGTTTAAATTACATTTTAAAAAATAGCTTAAATTTGGTCAAAGTGGCCTTAAAAAGGTCTTAAAAAGTCCTAAATTTGGCTCCCTTAAACCTGCAGATACCCTGTTCTTAGTTCTTCTTGTTTGACTTGCGGAAAGAATCTTTGTAGTCTTTCAGAATCAATGGTTTTATTCACCTTTGCGATTTCATCTAGTTCACAACAGACCACTTGATGGGCTCTGATTGCTCCAGCAGGTGTCACTCTTCTGACCCGGAGAAGATAACTTTTAGTCTTCACCTCCAAAGTCATTCCACCCACACCATACAACACTAAAGTCACATTTTCACTTTGTAACTTCAACCTGTCAGCAGCCTTATGGATGATGTAATTTGGATCAGATGCTAGATCCACCAGTGTCCCAGTTGTTTGGCCTGCATTTGCAGTCACTTCCATCAGCATTAGGATTACAGGAAGCTCACAAAGCCTGTACTTTTCTAAAAGTACAGACCGATTGTGGTCAGACTTGGGTTTTCGTGAGTTGTTGGTGAATGCTGTTCTGCATCTGTCAGTCATCTCTGGAGTAAGTTCTGACAGGAAGTTCTCTTGCTCATCAGTGAGTTTACTCTTCCTTCCACGCATTCCTCCTTGCCCATCATTCCTGCTTTTCTCCCTGATGTTTGCTTTTGGGCAGAGGAAATAATGATGCTCAGAGGTTGACCACAGGTTTATTTGGATAAGGTCTCTGAGCTCTTTAAATTTGCATTTAGCCTCAGTTGTAGTCTTTATGATGTCAGATTCATCCAGAATTGTTCCTTTATCTCCATCTTCCTCTTTACCTCTGGCCTCAACCAGTAGACCATTTTAGTAATCAGTTGCCTCCAGCAGTCTCCTGAAGTGGTCTGAGAGTTTATTGAACTCATCTAGCAGTTCAATTTCCACCGTGTGTTGCTTAGCCAGGATCCTCTGGAGGTTTCTTCCTGTTAAAATTTCCTGTTGACTCTGGCTGCATGCTTGCTTAGTATGAGGACTGCTGAAGGACACTGACACTAGTCGATGCAGTTTGCTGGGTTCCTTATATAGGAAACTTTTTACTGATTGGCTTAATGAACTGAACTGTATTGGAATGTTTACTGTGTTAAGAAACTTGAGACGACTCCTGTCGTGATTTGGTGCTATAAACATGTTTGCGCCTCTGCTCCACAACCGCAATGTTGTTGTTCACACGGTCAACCAAGTTGCAGCTACATATGTGAATCACCAAGGTGGGGTTCGCTCTGCTGTGCTTCTGAGGGTACCCAGAACACTTCTGTGCTGGGTTCAGACACAACTTCTGTCTCTAAAAGCGGTTTACGTCGCAGGCATTTTGAATGTTGGATAGGGCTGCAACAACGAATCGATAAATTCGATGAAAATCGATTACTAAAAGTGTTGGCAACGAATTGCGTCATCGATTCGTTGTGTTGCACAACTCTTCCAAAAGCCCCCTCCCCTCCCGCCCGCCGTTGCACGCATACCAGAGAGCCGGCAGGTGTTAGGAAGAGGAACATGGCAGAAGCAGTGAGACCCCAAAAAAGTAAAAACTTCTAAAGTTAAATCAGGCGAAGACATTCGTTACCTGCAATGTTTGTAGGTCAGACTTAGCATGGCACGGGAGTACTACAGTGATGATGCAGCATCTGTATCCTGTCTGCCTACAATTATTATAATAAATGTTGTGGTTGACAAGTATTTTGTGCTGCCAAATATCTCAGAGAGCTGATGGAGGTTCTCAGTCATCGAAGGATGGCTGAAGGCTTTCCAGGAACAGGAGATGTGGTGTTGTCTCCTCTCTCTATTCTGCCAGATGAGCTGATAGGTTACAGGTGTGTGAGGACATCCTCATGCTGTCATAACCAGATGACAGAGTTATCAGGTGATCAGCCAGGCTAATGATGAGATGCAGAAAGAAAACAAATCATGCAGAAGGAAAACAAATCCAGGACAGTGTACAATAATATGTGGTGTTGCTCACCTTATGTGCTCTTATAAGTATTAACTTGTGCCTGCCTCATGGTGTAGAGTCCATATTTTGCTGAGTGTCCTGCAATAATGCAGGTTATTAGTTAATTTACTTTTGATAGCAAAAACAAAATATTTAATGTAAAAGTTATTTACCAGGTGAATCAGCTCACACATCACCACCAAGTGTCACAGGGCCAGAATCAGTAGCCTCCTTCATGATGTAATCACATACCTATTTAATTGTTAATATCTTAAAAATTCTGAAATGTTTTATTTTTTTTTACCTTGAACAGTTCACTGAGCTTGCACTGTCACTGAGGTGGAAGCTGGAATCAACAGCAGACACCTCACATCTTGGTCTTTTCAGGGGGTGTGGACGCTGCTCTGGGACCTTCTGGAAGATGAATTTCCGTCATGGTCCCCGTGTCACAAGACACACTGAGGCTGTGAGCTCTTCTGGCTGGCTATGTACAAAAACAAAGAAGCAGCACATTTATAAATGTTTAAAAGAGCATAAAATCACGTGTAACAATAATCTGTAAAACAAATTAAAACTAGAAGCTAATAATAAAATGTTTACATAGAAGATTATTAAAAATAATTCACCTTTGCTACGCCGGTAAGGCTTCATGTCAGCCTGGACAAGTGCATTCTTGCAGCTAAATCAGTCTGACAGCCAGTGTCTTGGGTAGATTTAGCCTGAAAAACAAATAGAAGCACATTGTTGTTGGAGTTTATAAAGTCAGATAATATACAAAAGAAACTCCTATATAGGCGCTTTATAACAGTCCTAGTGTGTGATCGTTGTTATAACGTAAAAGTCAGTCACATATGATGTGGAGGGCCTGAAATGCGACCTCCTGAACAGAATTCCTCACAAAACTGGGTCACAAGCTGGATTTCACACTGTAATGCTGTCTGTCAACTAGTGCTGCGTTAGTTAGAGACACTGTTGCAGAATTACCGACTGACTAGCTAAATGAAGTGAACCACGTCTCTCGGACTTTGCATTTAGGTAGGGAATTGTTGTTAGAAGATGTTAAAACTTTATTTAGCTGACTCACCTCAGACTGGAGCCCGCCGTGGTGGGGGAGCAGAGTCGGTGGGCTGCATCTAAATCGCGGAAGAGCCACGGTGGGCACAGCCTCCCTCTTCAAACGGAGGCGTGCAGAATCGCGGATAAAATGCCCACAGAGCCACCGCAACCATACTACACTACACCATCTCACCATGCTAACACGATATGGAGTACTAAACCCGAACTACTTTCCTAATTACACTAACAGCCAAACACTAACTAAACTACAATATCCAACAGACAAGCTAACACTAAATAAGTATGTATAACACTAAAAGCTATGCTAAAGACTAGGATATGCTAATGCTATATGCTAATGCTGAACTACGGCTAGCCTCCTACACTCACTTGCAAATCCAACTCCCAACTCGCCACAAGGCGTGGCCGAGACGCTCGTTGCTTTTATAACGTTGACACAGAGCTGCTACGTAGTATTCTACTGATTTACGTTGTATCTTACTCTTTAGCCATTGGCTAAAATTTATTCAAAATGAGTCAAATTCTATGTTTTAAGCTGAAGGTGGCGCTATACTGTGGTATTTAGGCAGAATTTTTAATTTTTGAAGAAAATGCACCAAAATGCTAAAATAATGAATACACACATTTAAAGCACTATTAGACACTCATTTATACAGTTCATTAGCAAAAAAAAGTTAATTTAGACGTTACTTGCTCTTTAACTTACCCGGACACCGAGCTCTCTCCTTCCTCGCTGATGATTCTGACATGCTTGCGTTTAAGATGCTGCATCATCACTGTAGTACTCCCGTGCCATGCTAAGTCTGACCTACAAACGTTGCAGGTAACGAATGTCTTCGCCTGATTTAACTGAAAATGCTCCCAAACTTTAGAAGTTTTTACTTTTTTTGGGTCTCGCTGCTTCTGCCATGTTCCTCTTCCAAACACCTGCCGGCTCTCCGGTCTGCACGCAACGGCGGGCGGGAGGGGAGGGGGCTTTTGGAAGAGTTGTGCAACACAACGAATCGATGACGCAATTCGTTGCCAACGCTTTTAGTAATCGATTTTCATCGAATTTATCGATTCGTTGTTGCAGCCCTATTTGTGACACAACTTTACTCTGTTTCCTTTTACTTTAACAAAATGTCGCAAAAGCTTCGATATTTTTTCACCCGGCATTTTCTTAGTGTGCCAACTTGGAGAAGTTTTAACAAACTGTGAGACTTCATATTGGGTGACGAACTGCAGCTCCTTAACAGGGACTTTTGATTGGAAAATTAACTAAATTTAGCAGAGAACAATATATATTTTAATACCTTTTCAATAAGTGGTGTGGTGATCATCAACATATACATATATGGACAATGGGTTTCCATAGACTCCAATAACAACTTTTTGAGGAGAAATGGGAGGTGGCCACCACCACCATTTTGACTGTGTCACAGGTTCCGTCAAGCCCAGACAATTCCACAAAAGGGAAGAGAGGTGGAGCTGAGGGTGGGGCTGTAAGGCTGGGATCAACTGACGACACCCGGTCGAACTAGCTACAAGCTAACCTGAAGCTAACCCAAAGCTAACGCGGAGGTGGGAGCTAAGCTAACGGAGGTAGCAACCTAGCTACAACCGGAGTTAACTGTGCACAACACCAGAGCTTCTGAGTCAGAGATACGCCAGGCTGACCGCTGGGTAAAACCAGGTCGAACACTGAGGTCTCCCGAGAGCTCCACAAGCCGGCAGCCGCACAGCAGACAAGCGCCGCTGTGATCTGAGATGCGCAAAGCTGCCGCTGGGCAGAACCGGGTGGAAAGATTTCCATCCCAGAGCTCCACAAGCCGGCAGCCCGCGCAGCAGACAGCCGCGGCGATCAGAGATGCGCTGAGCTGCGGGGAGGGGAGAACCGGGTGGAAAGCGTCGGTTTCCATTCGAGAGCTCCACAAGCCGGCAGCCGCACAGCAGACAAGCGCCACTGGGATCTGAGATGCGCAGAGCTGCCGCTGGGGAGAACTGGGTGGAAAGGTTTCCATCCCAGAGCTCCACAAGCCGGCAGCCCGCGCAGCAGACAGGAGCTGCGATCAGACAGAGATGCGCTGAGCTGCGGGGAGGGGAGAACCGGGTGGAAAACAGAGGTCTCCCGAGAGCTCCACAAGCCGATAGTCGGAACCCAGCTCCACCAACATTTCAACCCATTTTCTAAAGTGCAGCATTATGTTAAATGCACAGGGTTTTACCCTATTAAATTTAAATTTCATGGTTAAAACAGTACATGTTAAAATCTAAGCTCAGCTCGGCAGTGACCTAAAATACATGAATATAATTTTACTTATTGAAAAAAATGAAGTTGAGACTTCTTGGACGCTCTATTAGTGCAATTAATACCACAGCAAGTCATTTTGTCCAACAATTGCAGAAATAATATCCAAAAAAAGAACGCACAAACGGCACAACTAATGGTCTACGTTGAGAGACTGAAAATGACAGAACAGTTTTCAGGCGAGGCCAAGGCTCAGACTGAGGCCTTTCCCCGGAGCTAGCTCTGCGGTCACGTGGGACTGATGCTCATTATACAGAATTTTAGGCATTTACTACACTTAAACAGAAGAGTGAGAAAAAAACTCACCCACCTCAGAGTTGTCATGAGTGTAAACTAGATCATTTAAACCAAAAACATGTTTTGGTACCAGGCTGTAAACATGTTTATTTCTGCTGTGAAATTGGTATTTTTATCATGGGAGTCGATGAGGATTTGCTCGCTTCTCACACCAGCCCCCAGCGGATGAGGGTGGAACGTGTTCGCCTCGATTTTTGACTCGCATTGTGGGGGCTTGGTGGTGATTAACTTACTGGCTGTTCCTCTCCTCCTGCTTGCTCCCAGCTCCAGAGCCTCAGAGCAGCGACAGCTGGAGCAGCTTGTGGACCGTACCAATTTGAGGAATAATGGAGGGGTCATTCTCTTTGAATGATTAAAAAGACGTTATTTTGCCGTTTTAATTTTTATCACTTATGCTCTGCTTTCATTAGACATTACTTTATCACTGGTAAATACGTTTATATCCTCAATTTTTTGGTGGGAGACAACTTTATGCATAAGTGGAAGTGCTATTGAACTCCATTGTTGTTCATGTGAACTGTGAAGTCCCTTCTTGGGCTCATAATTAAGTTCTTTTTTTACCCCCTCTTGTCCTGTCTGGCTGTGAAGGAAACAGAATTGATGTGTGAATGCTGGAGACAAGCCTTACACATTTACTGTCAGGTGGAGCGTTAAAGATTCTGCTGTAATGTCACGCCTGATACAAAAACTTTATTGTCAGTGTTTTAGATGCTTTTTAATTCCGACAGGACATGGAGACAGAGGTGCAAAAGAAAGGAAGAGAGAAAAGGGAGAGGGATGGGTTAACAAAAACAGTCTATGATGGACAAAAATCTGCTTCTAGACCTGCAGAAAGAGGAAGACAAAAAAAGGGACACACAACATACAACAAGAGTAAAATATCATGAGGAAATATAAAGTCCATTGTTTTGCTGAACAGTCGCACAATAATAAATCTCAGTGAATTTACATTTAAAATTTAAATGTAAAGACGCGTGTTGAGAATGCCCGAGTCCATACTTAATGAGAGCAACATAGAATAGAATATGTAACGTTATGAAGTTCATTATTTTCAGCTCCACATAGCTGCCCCTGTACACAGTAACACCCGTGTAGAAAACGCCTAGGTCGGGTGTTCCTCAGGCCGGGGACACACTGTCCGCGGAAGCGCCGCGAAAATGGGACCGCCTTCATTCGGCGCCCTTGTTAAGCTATTCTATAGACCACATGGGCCGCCGAAGCGCCGCGAATCGCCTCGCGCCGGCGCTCCAGCCCGCGCCGGCGCTCCAGCCCGCGCCGTGCAGCGATCATTTCGGCGTTGGCTCTATTTTTTTCGCGAGCCGCGGGTGAATCGCGTCAATTCTGGCAGGAAGTCAAACCTAGACATAAGAGGCAGGCCGGTAAAGTTAACAAAATAAAGCATTTCAAAATAAAATTCCGCAATAGTCAAACGTGTTCGTAAACAGACACTGCAGAAAAACCACACGAACACGCACACACATACACACACATCGAACTTGTGTGCGTGTGTGACCACGTGAAGGGGGGTGTGGTTTTGGGTGTCTTTTCACCGGAGCAAACAGGACAGAGAGGCAGAAAGTCTGAGGCAAGCAGTTAAGATGGATGACTTTAAATGAATTATGGAAGTTGAGTAACACAAGGAGCTGTACGACCCCCGAAAAACATGGTTATTTACGTACCCATTTCGGAATAAACTGCTAGGATACAGCTGCAGAATTGGAGCGGGTTCCAAGAGATTCAACTGGCAGAAACAACTCATACCATAGGTTCACACACACACACACACACGCACGCACGCACGCACACGCACACACACGCGCACAAACACTCAAACGTAGAGGAAAAGAGCTGAGGAAAGGCAGAGAGGAAATGGAGGACACCAAGTGTTTAAAAGAAAAACTACAGCTGAGCCGAGGCGCGCCTCGACTGGGGCGCGTCTGATCTGAACTGAGGAGCGGCGATCAGCGGCTGAATTTCGTGAGCGATTCGCTTCGCGGCGCTTCCGCGGCCGGTGTGTCCCCGGCGTCAGACTGTTTACATTCCAGGAGAAGAGCCAGAAGGAGAAGAAGAACGCTTTTCAATAATCAAAGTACTTAATTTGTGATTAAAACTAGTCGAAACAGATGTTGATCAATAATAATCAAGTGAATGATCTGTGGAATAAAGATGTCATGATTTATGTGTTTAATGAAAACAGGACTACTGCACAGACAGACTGACTCTCATCTCCATAGAAACGCATGACACATTGTTCCAACCAATCAGAGCTTTCGGCTGCCGCAAGAGAATCTGGCTTGTTGACTTAAAGTGTCCAATCCGCTTTACTAAAACTTATCAACAATTCAGAGATATAAAACAAGGCAACGCCATTTTAAGCTCAGTTCCATTTTGACTTCAGTTCTGTTCACCGTCATCCCAAAGAGAAGCACTGCCTGGCCAGATGTGTTTTCTTCTTTAAACTAAGAACTGTGAAGTTGGAGATTTTCGTCGTTTAACAACCAGACGACATCCTTTCAAAATAAGAGCACCTGCTGACGCTGCCGATTGTTACCTGGGTCGACCCTTCAGACGGGCTTTGAAACGCTGTGACCACGGCTTCGACCAGCTCCAGCGCACATCCGAGGTCTTCAGACCTGGCATTTCCTGATCTACCTGGGAGGCCCCCCACTGGGTACGTACACGGCAAAATAGCAGCTCATGTCATCACTTTATAAGCCTCGTGATCTCTAGTCATAACAATCAAAGACCACCAGATTCGATGACGTCAGCCTAAGGAGTCTGAACCAATCACACACACACACACACACACATCAAACATCACATTCATTTCCAAACAACACAGAGTTAGTCCTGATAGATTGTAGAATTTATAATAAAATTCTTAAACAATCCCAACTCTCTCTTTCTTGTCTCAAGGTCAATACAGAGTGTTAAATGAACTCCCTGATGATAAAAACAACCTATTCTTCTGATTATAACAAGTGATCTACTTACAGTATATTAAAATACAACTCTAGATCGTTTCATCACTCTATTTCATTACAAATATAATAGAATCCCTTTATTGTCACTATACAGGTGTAAAGTGAGATACAGAGCATCTCCTACTCGGTGTAAAAAAACATACTTGGGGGGGTGGGGTACAGTTCTGCAGCGCTATGTACATATGGACAGTAATGTATATACAATTATTGCACATAGAATTTGGTATAAATAGATAGTGGTGGTCAATGGAGGAAGTGGGACGTGTGTGTGTGTGTGTGGGGGGGGGGGGGGCTGTGTTATCAGTGCATGTGTGAGTTCAGGGTGGTTATTGCTTTGAGGAAGAAACAGTTTTTGATTCTCTGGGTTTTTGTATTAATGCACCTGTAGCGCTTCCCTGAGGAAAGCAGTCTGAACATGTTGAAGCCAGGGTGGGAGCTGTCCTTGATGATGTTTGCTGCCCTACTGAGACAGCGGGAGGAATAAATGTCCATCGTGGAGGGGAGAGGACAGCCGATGGTCTTCTGTGCTGTCTTTACCACACTCTGATGCCTCACTCTATCCGCCTTGGTGCAGCTGCCGTACCATACCGCGATGCAGTAGGTTAGCAGGCTCTCAATGGACAAGTGGTAGAAGGTCAGCAGCAGGTCAGAGTTCAGTTTGTACTTCCTGAGGACTCTCAGGAAGTGCAGCCGCTGTTGGGTCTTCTTGATGACCGCTGAGATGTTTTCCACCCAGGAGATGTCAGCAGAGATGAGGACACCAAGGAACCGGAAGGTGTGGACTCTCTCCACACACTCCCCGTTGATGTAGAGGGGGGCCAAGTCGGTGCTGTGTCTCCTGAAGTCGACAATAAGCTCTTTTGTTTTCTTGGTGTTCAGGGACAGGTTGTTTTCTGAACACCATGCTGCCAACTTCAGGACTTCCTCTCTGTACTCTGCCTCGTCTCCCTTGGAAATGAGTCCGACTACCGTGGTGTCGTCAGCAAACTTGATGATGAGAGTGTTATTGTGGGTCGGACTGCAGTCGTGGGTGTACAGAGAATACAGGAGGGGGCTCAGCACACAGCCCTGTGGGGAGCCGGTGCTCAGTGTGCGAGTGGAGGAGAAATGAGGGCCGAGTCTCACAGTCTGGAGCCGGTTTGTGAGGAAATCCTTTATCCAGGCACATGTAAGAGGAGGGAGGCCAAGAGTGACCAGTTTGTTGATGAGGATGTCCGGGATGATTGTATTAAAGGCTGAGCTGTAGTCCACAAAGAGCATTCGGACGTAGCTCTGCCGCTGCTCTAGGTGACTCAGCACAGCGTGGAGGACTGTGGCAATGGCGTCTTCTGTTGATCTGTGTGCACGCTATGCAAACTGGTGGGGGTAGAATTCTGGGGGAGGTGATCCTTTATGTGCTGAAGGAGAAGTCTCTCAAAGCATTTCATGATTACCGGTGTGAGGGCCACAGGGCGGTTATCATTTAAGCTGGAGATGGGAGACTTCTTCGGTACTGGGATGATTGTGGCTGATTTTAGACAGGACGGGATGGCTGCCTGATCCAGTGAGAGGTTGAAGAGTCTGGTGAAGATGAGGCTGAGCTGGTGTGCGCATGCTCTTAGTACTTTGCCAGGTACTCCGTCTGGACCGGCCGCCTTCCTGGGGTTCACTGCTAGGAGCACACGTCTGACATCGTGCTTCGTTACAGTGAGTGGAGCGGTGTAAGAACCATGTGAGGATGAGGATGGTAGCAGGGCTGAAGCAGATGAGTGTTGCTGCTGTGGTGTTTCAAAGCGGGCAAAGAAGCAGTTTATTTCCTCTTCCAGCTGCATACTCAGGTTTTCAGTTTTTGCAGTGCTGCTTCTGTGGTTGGTGATGTCTCGCATTCCCTGCCATACCTCTCGTGTTTTGTTGCTGGACAGGTGGGACTCGATATTCCTTTTGTGGTCTAACTTGGTTTTTTAATCCCCCTTTTCAGGTTAGCTCGAGCAGCCCTGTACAGAGCTCTGTCACCTGACCTGAAGGCGGCATCACGGGCTTTGAGGAGTGAGCGGACCTCGCTGGTCATCCAGGGTTTTTGATTTGGAAAAACCCAAATGCTTTTGTCCACTGTCACATTTGCAGTACAGAACTTGATGTAGTCCAGTACTGATCCTGTGAAAGTTTCTAGGTCCTGGTGTTCAAATATGTCCCAGTCTGTCTCTGTGAAGCAGTCTTGTAATTTGTTGAGAGCATTTTCTGGCCAGGTTGTAACAGTCCTTGTGGTGGGCCTGGCACTGCGCCTGAGGGGGGTGTAGGCTGGGGAGAGCAGGAGAGAGAGATGGTCTGACTGACCGAGGTGGGGGAGGGGTATGGCTCTATATGCATGCTTGATGTTGGAGTAAACATGATCTAGAGTGTTTTCTCCTCTGGTGGGACATTTGACATGCTGATAGAACTTTGGGAGAACAGTCTTTATGTTGGCCTTGTTAAAATCACCTGCAATAATGTGAACCCTATCTGGGTGGGCCCGCTGCTGTTCGTTAATGGTGTTCAGCAGGATAGAGAGCGCCGTGGTTACGTTGGCATCGGGTGGGATGTACACAGCCGTGATGAACACTACTGTTCGCTCTCTCTGTAGAAAAAAAGGCAGGCATCTTACCGACATGTACTCGAGGTTCGGGGAGCAGTGACTGTTTATAATTGTCCCATTGTTTCACCAGCTTTCATGCACGTAAATACAGAGCCCTCCCCCTCTGCTCTTACCGGAGTCCTTTTTCCTGTCCCAGCGAAGCAGAGTGCGGCCTGCTAGCTGAACGCTAGCATGGGGTATTCCCAGGTGAAGCCAGGTTTCCGTAATAATCAAGGCACAGCAGTCACGAACATAGCGATTTCCCACTAGTTGTAATTCCAGGTCGTCCGGTTTTTGCACGAGGGATCTAGCGTTGGAGAGATAGAGGCTCGGCAGAGGTGGCTTGTGTGGTTTGTTTTTTAGCCTCAGCATGATGCCGGATCTGCGGCCCCGCTTTTGCTTCCTTTCCCTCCATCTGCGCCTCCGCTTAGTCCCGATAACAATCCACGGGGAGCCCGGTGGTCTCGCCACATGATCTGGGATGTTGTGCGTGCGAAGGAAGTCCAGTGAAACAGATGTTTGATGCTGATCACCAATGTCTATGAAGCTCTGGCGGGTGTAGAAAACTTAGAAAGTAGAGCCGATGGTGCAGAAAAAAATAAGAAAGACATGCAAACTAAACAAAAAAAGGGAGTACTGAGCCGGAGAGCCATAAGCCGCTGCAGCCGCGTGCGCCGCCATCTTGGAAGATGGCTTGGAACATGTGAGCACCTGTTTGCTCACACGCACTTGTATGCGTAAGATTTCTGTTTAAGAGTGTCCAATAGTGAGTGTGAGGGGCCACAGATCTGCCCCCAAAGATGTGCGGAAGATGGAGGGAGCTCCAAGCCCCAGAGATCCAGGAGCTGCCCCAGAGTGCAGGGACCCCAGGGAGACTGTCACCAGAGAACCCCAACCCCGCTCAAGGGATGCAGAGGACTGCCCCGGGGGGTCACAACCAACAGCCGACAGAGTCCCAGGAGATAACAACGGCAAGCCCCCAGGCCCGCCCAGAGCCCCCCACCTCTTAAGTCGACTGAGCCTGGGACCCAGCGCCCCGGGACCCAGGGGCGACCAACCCCGCCGGTGACCCATCTGAGCCCAGGCAGCCACCGGGAGCAAAGACAGATGCCAAAAATCTTAAGGCCCCCGACACTGGGAGCCGCGAACACGCAGGCAGACCGAGGCTCCACACTTGGCAGCAAATGTGGCAGGGGGAGGGCAGGCGAAGGTGTGTAGCAGCACAAGAATACCCAGGAGAAGGGAGGAGTCCAAAACCCCACCTTACATACATAGTCATTGTTTAGGTAAATTTGCTTACTAACATCGACCAAAGAACTCAGACTGGAAATTCGGTTGAGTATTTCAGATTACACTTTCTGCAGAAAGAGGAGCCAGGCGGAACACGCATTTGCATGTGTGAGTTTCCAAGCTGACTCCAAATCTTTCAGCTTCGGAGCATATTTTTATTCACACATAGGCATAGTTACAAAGTTGCACAAACATTTGTCTCACCCCCGACTCATGGCCCGAGCGAGCACCTTAAGAGTTGAGAATTTTTGGAGCATCCTTTTCTGAGATACCAAATTCTGAGATAACAAAGAAGCATTTAGAGTGCTGTTTACAGAAATAAGAAAAACATACCATCTACTCACCCATGGCAACCAGACAACTTAACCTCTCTTTTTCTCTAACAGTTATACACAAACACAGTCACACACTCCGTCCCTCATGCTCACACATACACATACAACCGCAGACATACAAAAATGAACGCTAGACACCCATTCACGCTCCCTATACACACCCTATTCACTCTGGTCCTGGAACTGCTGCACAGACGGTACAACCATCCCATGGCCAGAATTAGCCCCGTTCTGCTGAGGTGATGATGAGCAGGCACCCCACCCAACTCCGAACAAAGCAACTCATCTCCCCAGGCCCCAAACAGACGGCCAGCTCCCACTCCGCTCATTGTAAACTTCAGTAAAGAACTAAGACGACTATTAAGCTGCTGTTTGTTTTTCCTTTGAAGCGAGGTTGTCTGTCACCACAAACAAATGTTTTGAGTGTTTAGTTTTTACTTGCACAAAATAAAAATTAATCTGAGAGCACGTTAATTTCCCCAAAATTATTTAGATGCATTAGATGATTAAAAAAAGTTTTTTAAATTGTCAAATTAATCAACATTTTCTTTATTCTCTTATCCTGTCTAGATCTTCCACAGCATCATGTCTGGGAAAAGGAGAAGGATTTGACTGCCCAGCAGCTCTTTAACCAGGAGTCGATCTCCTGTTCAGACCAGAAAGAACCAGAACAGCTAAAACTTTGCCAACATGAAGGACAGCTCTTCCTGAACCAGGAAAATCTTACCTTCACGGATACTCCTCTGTCTGAAGAAACAGAATGTCATGAACCAGAACCAAACAGGAACCAGCCATTGTGTCAAAGTTCTACAGAACCTGAGAACCAAGATCAGGGTGGATGCAGGAAAGAAAACTCAGAATCAAATGGCAATGAAGAACTGAAACTGAATAAAAGGCGTCAGCGAAGCAAAGATCACAGAGACAGTGTAGGTGGTGAAAGACAAAAAAAGCAGAAAGGGGCTCACAGTGGTGGGGGATCATTTTATTGTAAGCTATGTGGAAAATCTTTCAGTCACAAATCTCATTTAAATATTCACATGAGAACTCACACAGGTGAGAAGCCTTATCCATGTAAAACTTGTGGTAAATGTTTTAGAACCAGTAGTGAATTAACTACACACATGAGAACTCACACAGGTGACAAGCCATATTCATGTAAAACTTGTGGTAAATGTTTTACTGAAAGTGGTAACTTGACTACACACATGAGAACTCACACAGGTGAGAAGCCATATTCATGTAAAACTTGTGGTAAATGTTTTAGAACCAGTGGTGAATTAACTACACACATGAGAGCTCACACAGGTGAGAAGCCATATCCATGTAAAACTTGTGGTAAATGTTTTAGAACCAGTGGTGAATTAACTACACACATGAGAGCTCACACAGGTGAGAAGCCATATCCATGTAAAACTTGTGGTAAATGTTTTACAACCAGTAGTGAATTAACTAGACACATGAGAGCTCACACAGGTGAGAAGCCATATCCATGTAAAACTTGTGGTAAATGTTTTACAACCAGTAGTGAATTAACTAGACACATGAGAGCTCACACAGGTGAGAAGCCATATCCATGTAAAACTTGTGGTAAATGTTTTAGAACCAGTGGTGAATTAACTACACACATGAGAACTCACACAGGTGACAAGCCATATTCATGTAAAACTTGTGGTAAATGTTTTACTGAAAGTGGTCACTTGACTAGACACATGAGAATTCACACAGGTCAGAAGCCATATTCTTGTAAAACTTGTGGTAAATGTTTTACTATCAGTGGTCACTTGACTACACACATGAGAACTCACACAGGTGAGAAGCCATATTCATGTAAAACTTGTGGTAAATGTTTTAGAACCAGTGGTGAATTAACTACACACATGAGAGCTCACACAGGTGAGAAGCCATATCCATGTAAAACTTGTGGTAAATGTTTTACAACCAGTAGTGAATTAACTAGACACATGAGAGCTCACACAGGTGAGAAGCCATATCCATGTAAAACTTGTGGTAAATGTTTTACTAGAAGTGGTCACTTGACTACACACATGAGAGCTCACACAGGTGAGAAGCCATATCCATGTAAAACTTGTGGTAAATGTTTTACAACCAGTAGTGAATTAACTAGACACATGAGAGCTCACACAGGTGAGAAGCCATATCCATGTAAAACTTGTGGTAAATGTTTTACTAGAAGTGGTCACTTGACTACACACATGAGAGCTCACACAGGTGAGAAGCCATATTTATGTAAAACTTGTGGTAAATGTTTTAGAACCAGTGGTGAATTAACTACACACATGAGAGCTCACACAGGTGAGAAGCCATATCCATGTAAAACTTGTGGTAAATGTTTTACAACCAGTAGTGAATTAACTAGACACATGAGAGCTCACACAGGTGAGAAGCCATATCCATGTAAAACTTGTGGTAAATGTTTTACAACCAGTAGTGAATTAACTACACACATGAGAACTCACACAGGTGACAAGCCATATTCATGTAAAACTTGTGGTAAATGTTTTACTGAAAGTGGTAACTTGACTAGACACATGAGAATTCACACGTGAGAAGTGATTTAATCTTCTATGAGATTCATTAAGGCATTTTATGTACCTTCTGATTTGAAAATTCACACTTGAGATTGTATTCATTAAAATATGTTTGGCAACATATCATAGATGCCTTAAAGTGCTCAAGGCATGGGTGGAGACTTATTTCATCCACACTTCCTGTTAGAAAAACGCTTCTGAAAAGTAATTAGCTGACAACATCACATTTTGTAGCTTAGCCATTTGTAGCTTGCCTTAGGAATGCGAATGGGATTGAGCTCATGCGCACGTGATTTAGGACACGGGTGGTCTGTGATGTCACAAGCATACATGGGCGGGGCAAAAGTGCAGAGAAGTCCGCAGTGTCCATTATTAAACAAAAGCAGCCTAAGTAGTCTTGCTTATGGAGACTGACTTTCATATTGCATCCTGCTTTGCTGGGTCTGGCAGAATGTGTGTGTGTGTCACAGCAGTGAGGGACAGAAAAAAAAAACAGCTTTTGTGAGAGGCTTGGCAACTCCACAGCATCAACGATAATGAATTGCGCTTGTGGGAAGCCTCCCGCAGGCTGATTCTTGCTGCCAATCAGAGTTGGGAATGGTAGGCATGCTTTTGAGTTAGCCAGTCAGTCAGCAGTGGGCGTGTCTTCCCTGTTCGGCTCCAGGTGGACCTCCTTGGGAAGAGGGCTGAAAAGACATCTGGAGTGAGAAAACTCTTAACCCATGCCATTATTTTACTCAGATCTTTAACTTGTGGTCACATCTGCCTTAAAAATGTTCTTGCTTTATACCAGTGTCCCTCAATAGGCGGTCCAGACCTGGCCTGAGAACGTCCAAGTTTTCATTTCTACTCTGCTTGGCCAGGGAGCACATTGCTTGTGATGTGGATGAGGCGCTGTGGCCAGATAAAAACAGAAGAGCGGATGCAGCACAGTTGTTTATTTTTTTCTTTATTCGTTTTAGCTTAACTATTAATTATAGTCTTCTGTTTGTATATGTAGATCACTGCATAGGCAACTCTGTGTTGGTTTGGATGAACACTGCTGTTTTTGTGTTAAAACACACTAAAGTATATTTTGTAACGTGTTTGTGAGTTTTGTACACAAACATTCTGAAATATTTTATGTACAATGCACTGTCGTAGTACAGTAGGTGTAACACTGAACACAGTAAGTCATTATGATGACTTGAGAAGAAGTGGTCATAATATTTTACACATCAGGGTTAATCTGGTTCTTATAAATGTTTGCTCATGTAATGGTTTGCGTGTCATTTGGAAACCAAAGACCATTTTGAGAAGAATGTGCGTGCGTTTTTGGATTCGCATGTAGAGTTCTAAAAATATGTTGCATGCTTTCAAAAAACGTGAGTAAACAACTGTGAAGAACTGTAATTGTAATTATGTGAAAAGTGTTTTCCAGTTTAACAAGTTGGTATGAAAAGTATGGCAGCTGACTACAGTTTTTTATTGTAGCGTGTTTGTTGTTAATACAAGAGATTTCCTTCATGATGTCCTTGACAAACATGTTTTTAAACTGTAATGTAAGTGTGAGGCAGAGATTGTGCTGGTAGTTTAGCAGAATTGGTTAGGGGAGTTGGCACATCAGTTACTTGTTGTAGTAACTGTGCCAGATGTAAAAAGAATCGTATGTAAACAACTGTAACAGCGTTAACATTAGTGGAGGGATCATATATAGCACATATGTCAGAGTCAAAGCCCGCGGGCCAGATGCGGCCCGCGGAGCATTTTTATGTGGCCCGCAAGATAAAATTAAAAAATATATTAAAACTGGCCCGCTGGCCGATTTTACCGCAAAGACTACAACTCCCATGATGCTTTGCGGCGCCAGCGCAGAGCAGACGCGCCCCCTCCTTTGTGTTTTTTCAGCGCCGAGGCAGTCAGAGGTAGTTGGGTCTGTGCAGCTCCGCTGTCTCAGACAAACTACACTCCTCTCAGCGCCGAGTTCACTCAGCTGTTTTCTGACGTTGAAGCCCAGAAACATGGATTCTAGCTGCTTAGTAATGTGTTCACGACTTAAAGAGAAAGTTTTCAAACTAACTTCCAGACAGAGCTGATGTAACTCCAGCGAGCAGCGACACGCTCAAACCAGCACGACTCTGTGGTTGTGTTTCCTCCCCGACACACAACAACGTGGTCAAGCTGCTCAGACATGTTCAGCAGCACAAACCTATGTGAGCACCTGTTGTCATCTAATGTTGTCATTATTATGATGAAGATGAACAAAACAACAGGAGTCTCCTCCTCAGCTCAGATCAACCCCATGATGCAGGTATCTGGCTGGAACAGGTGAGCATCACAGTAAACCAGTGGAACAAACAGAGCTTTAAATATTTAGGTTTTATGCTCTTTTTTTCTGCTCCAAAACATGAACGTTAACAGGTGAGATGTTGCATTTTCATTTAAGATAAAATGATATTTTATTTTGTTGTTGGCCCGTGAGAAAAGATTTAACCTACAGTAAACAAACGATCTAGGAATGGATACATGACAGGATACCACAGAACAGCGCTACGCCCTCTGTGGTCCTGCCGGGCAATTGCTTTGCAACACTCTCCAGGAGACTGAGAAGTAAAAGAGCAAAACGCTTCCGTCAATCCGTGCGTGTCTGTCCCTTGCGGAGCTGACGGAGAAGCATAAACCAGGCTTTACAGGTATGACAGCTCTGCTGTGTGTGAGCACGGACTCCCAAGCTCCTGTCTTTAAGGTAACTGGAGGCCTAATTGAGGATCAAGAGGTTGTTTCGCCCACACTCGTGCAGGAAAAAGTGCTAGTTGACTTAAACTGACCCAAACAAAAAAGGAACTTGAAACCTTGGCCGCCCAAACCGCGAGCCAAATGAGGGAACGCTCACTTCTCGCTCTTCCACATGCTCTCTGACATCACACTTTCTATAGACACAGTCAAGATTCAGTATGTTGATGACATTTCAATAGCCTCCACACCTGCTCAGACTTGTCTGTCAGACACTCACTCCATTCTGTCCATGCTCGCTTCAGCGGAGTTCAAAGTTTCCAAAAACAAACTAGTGTTGTAGGTCTGTGGTGTCATTTTTGGGCCACCTCGTGTCACGGACCGGTCATGAAATGTCTCCCTCCCACCGCTCCTCCATTTTACACCATCCCCTGCCTGTCACTGTGAAAGACATGGTGTGTTTTTTGGACCTCACTGGCTATAACCGTCAGTTCGTTCCTGATTATGCAGATATGACCCCCTTTTGCTTGCGTTAGTGAACCAACAGGGAATGAGAAATCTGTCTGTACCTTTATCCTGGACTTTTGACTCTGAACAATCGCTCATTGCTCTCAGGCTCTTGCTACCTGTTGAGAGGAGACTTGGGGCAGACTCGGTGGTCACATTTTCGAGTCTGGGCCAAGCTCATCTCTGTGAAAACCTCTGACCTCCTGCCATTCCGCTCCTGCACACAGGCCCCAGCTCCTGAAATGTGTGTGAACTCTGCACTTCCGCTCCTGACTCTGAAGTGTGTGCGTGGGCCTCTGCCCTGCACCCGCTCTGCACTCAGTTCTGTGGAACAAGCTGACTGGGTCCAACAGAACCAAGAGGTAAAAGGTGTGAACGCTGCATGTGTAAAGAAGAACAGGAAAAGAAGATGGGGACAGGAAACCACAGAAAGTCACACCAGAAGAATGGGCCTGCAAGAGAGGCGAGTGTCATGAGCCGGGGTGAGTACTCCTGTTCTCATAACCATCTGTGAGTCTCTTGCCAGGAGAGGGAGTGGCCCAGCTGTTCCTGATCAGCAATCAGCGGGGTGCTTTCCTATTTAAGGTGGATGGTGGACACACTTCGACGCCGGAAGATTGCCTCAGTTTTGGTAGTAACCAGCCACTCGTATTACCTCTAGTTTTCTTAGGATAAATGTTATTCGTAGTGTTTTTGCTCTTATATTGGATTTACCCTTCCTCAGGATTCCTGTCGACCTCATTGGATACTGACCTCTACTCCAGGATTCGGATATTCAGCACACGGACCAGGATTTGGATATTCAGCACACGGACCATATCACCACCCTCCATAACCCACCTCTCATCTCACCCAGTGCCCCATCCACCAGGACGCCCCGCTTCTCTCCACCTCTGCTCCCTCTCCTGCGCTTCCCCTGGCTCTCTACCTCTCCCTCCTCCAGCCAACACATACACCCCCCACAGTAAGTCTGCTGAACACCTCTGCCTGCCTACAATGAATTTTGAAACCAGAACCTATGCTCACCTGTGTTCTCCCTCCTCCAGACACTGAGCTGTTGTTGCGGTTCCAACCACAGACTTATCTGTGCACCTTAAGTTCCTCCTTATATATAAATCATTTTTCCATCCGTTTTTGGTCAGTGTTGTATTCTGCATGTCTTGGGTTAAGTACCTTCCTCCAAACATGACGGAGAGAGGCAGTTTTTGTGCTCCAAACATAAAGATGTGAATTTTCCTCTCAACGGGTTTTAAAAAACGTTGACGAGACAGTAAAACAAAGATCAGGAAGAATGAAAAAAATATTGTAATGCATAATGTGGGAGGGGGGAATAAAAGTGTGTGGGGTTCTGGTCAGGGAGAGAGTTGGTGATTGACAGTTGGAGTGTGTGTTACACAGAGAGAGCTTGTTTTCCCGCGGATCTGCTAGACTCAGGTTTTTGATAAGAGCTTTTCCTATTCCGCCTACGCTATTGTTCCTTGTTTGGAGTACCTTTTTTCCTTTTTGTGTGTGGAATAAACTTTTCCTTCCTTCGGGAGGAAATGAAAAGGCAATTTGTGGGGGCCTCCTTTATTTCTCTGGATCGGTAAGGTGAGTTTGCTGGTTGCTTCCTTCCATCCCAGGTTGTTTACATCAGCTGTTGCCTGATCAGAGGGGAAGCTGACGGGGATGTGATGAGCGTCATAAGCTCTTGCAGTGTGTGTGTGTTATCAGCAGTCTTCCTACAGCTAAATAAAGGTGATAATTTTACCTGACTTAAAGGCCTTGCATATAAGTAACAGTTTTTCTTTCTACAAAGTAAGGGTGTCTGCAGGAGGGGGCAGAGGTCACGCCCACCATCTAGCACCGTGAGTCAGTGCCTTGAGATTTATCACCTAGAGTTAGCCCGGTGGCCTGGTTCACAACACTGCCCCTGACAACGCGCTACTGTTTTTACTTGATGTTTCTGAAAGACTGTACTCTATGCATGCATTCTTATTTCAGAAACAGAGTAGTCCTGACATATTCCAGCATTATCTTGGAACCGATTGAGAACAGACAACAGTCTTGTGTGAGATATGCATCAGGCCTCGCTAAATTAATACAGAAAATTGCTCAAATCATTATGTGCTATCCCCTCACAGTTCTATTTATACATGACGTGATGGTGTTTGTCACATCCTCTGCTGTTACTTTCTCACCAGCAAGAAAAAAAAGTAAAAGGAGTCTTGACTCAGCCACACACATACACACACACACACACACACACACACACAGGGAGTCAAGAAGTCAGTGGTGATATTGTGCTGCTGTTATCAAATCTGAGATGAGATATCCAAATCTAATAAAATAACTCCGGTTTCACACGGAAAGCATCAGCAGCACAGAGCGGCAGTGGAACGTCACTGGTGCTTCAAATAGAATCCATTATAGTCTATGGACCGTATCAAACCAGCAGCAACGCAGCAATTTCCAGGCGCATCCCTGAAGCGGCACACACTAAAGATAGAGTCGGGTCATATTTTTGACATGGGCTGCTTCTGGGACATGTCATTTTCCACAGTTGACATAGGTCTAGACTGGAAATCACACACGGTTTCTGTGTAAAGTTCCCGGTAATTTTCAAAATAAAAGTATTGCAGCGATGCAATTTCATATGTGTGTCGTGTGACCCAACGGCTCATTTACTCACAGCATTGTTCCAAAATTGCAGTGGTGTGTTTTTCATGGCTTTATTCGTGGCAGTGGAGAGGAACAACATCATATATGACATCAGACAGTGCAGAGCCGGATTAATGCAAAGGCAAAGTAGGCACGTGCCTAGGACCTGATTGGCTGGATGGGGCCCAGACAGAGGAACAAAATTAAAACTAAATAAATTAAAAATTAAATGTACAAATGTCCTATGATAGAATTTGTAGATAGGACTCCTATCTACAATTTATTTCAATATTTATTAACTAAAAATAGTGACAATGTTTATCTTAACCATAGACCATTTCATTGGCTACGTCACATTAAGGCACCACCCAATTAAGGACGTCAGAGAAGCGGTCAGAGTCAGAGCGGGACACAACAAAGCTAGCAGGTGTTTTTGAGTAGGCTAACTTTCACGATGCTTTCGGGTGCGGCAAAACGTAAAAAAATAAAAATAAATGAAGAGGAACAAAAGAAGAGACAGCGGGGGGCTTTACAGAAGTTTCTGTCGGGCTGCTCGGGCAGCCGTCCGACAGCTGTGAACCTGCTCGAGTCAGCAGAGCCAGAGGCCGGGCCCGAGTCAGAACCGGAGGAGACACGACCCGAAGACGCAGTGGAAGATGCGGCGGAAGACGCTGTAGCGCCAACGCCGTGAACATCAACGCCTTCACAGAAGGACGAACTGGAAGAACAGCAGCCAGCCAGAAGTGAGCCCAATATAGTCTTACAGGAGCCTGTAGACCCAGAAAGGGTATTAACAACTAGCTAGCTAGCCATCGGATCCTGCAGTGGTACCAAACTGATGACAGGATGCGTGAGTACTTTGCACTAAACCATCCCTCTCAAAATATTGGATATTCTTCAGCATCACAGAGGAAATCTGGAGACATAAACCGAAGCTTAACCAAGGAACATTTCTTTAGACGTGTTTCTGCTGTGATTGAGGCCCTGTGATCCTGGAAGGCTGAAGATTGTTCAGGAGTGGAGCATGCTAAATTGTTTCCTTGGTAAGTGTTGCTGGTTTTATTAATGATTTTAAAATATTTTTATTAATGTTCAAATAGCATAACAAACAATAAGTTCACGCTCAGACAATTCACACCGAATTTCTGATTCAGCAGAGGTAACAACAGCCTGAATGAGCATGAAGCAAGATCAAAACTTAAGATGACGTTTTCATTTTATTAAAATACTTTCTTTTAGGATTATAGATTGTATTAAATGTATACTGTAATAATTTAAGCTGCGTGTTTATAGTTTGTTTTTGCGCCTTTAAAACATGCTCCAGTCCATTCAAATTAATCTATTCTTGAATGTCTTTCCACTATCATGTGATTCATTTGTCAACATTTATAAATGTTGTAAGCTATTGTATTTTGTAGAATTTTTTTTTATTAAATGTAGTGATTAAATATAAACAGAGCAAATAAGAGACACATATTTGCTCTGTTTACATAGTTTAATGACACCTAGTGGTTATTTACTGGTACCGCCTTGACAATGACACTCCCAATGGATAAGATGAGGATAATTTATTAGCATTTAATACAGCTGTGTAATTAGGGCTGGGGGTAAACGATTATTTTTAAAACGATTATTCTGACGATTATTTTATCGAATAGTCGACTATTCTAATGACTATTTAGATGATTAATCTAGCGATTATTTTTCTATTGCACAATTAATAAAAACCAAAAAATCTCAAATAAATTCCTCCAAAAAATTGATAAATTCTTACTGTAAGAGAATAAACACTACAAGCCTTCCATTTTGTATAACACTGCTTTTATTGTGTTGGTTGGTTATGTTCTGGTGACATGTAGAACTTAGGAGTGCAGGCTGCTGCCTGAGAGCTGATTGGAGACGGAGTGTCTCCAAGCTGCTTTGTTTTGGTCACTTATGTGCGTGAGGCGAGTGGTGTTACGATCCTTCCTGGGGAGTTTGGCTCGTGTGCAAAAAGGAAGGGACAATAACTGGATTTAAAAGTTAAAATGATGATCAGGTTTATTTACAAAAAAAAAAAACATAAATCTTTCCATCCACAGGTTGGGAATAATAAAACTAATTCTGCCTGTGGGAAATTAAAACAAAAGTACAAATAACTAGGGATGTCCCACTGGGCAAAGATTACAGGGTTCTGGACCAAGATAAGAATCTCCAAAGGTCCAAACTCTAAACTGGGCGGTTAAACCAAACTGAAGGTGATATCTTAAACGAAACCAAAAACCCACAACACTCTAAATGTAATAAAAGGGAGATCTGCACCACAAAAAAGATGAACTCTAAACCAAAACGTAACAGCTTATCCAAATGCAAGAAGCTGTTAGCGAAAATGCTAACAGTAGCTTTACCAACGTTAAGTTCAAGTTACCAAGTTTAAATAAACCAAAAATACCCAGCAGCAAACAGACCAGCACGGAGGAGAGACTGCTACCACAAAAACAGCTTTCCTAATGTCTGAAAGAAGCTCCTTTATGAAGGGAGAAACGCTCCAGGTGATTTTCTACATCTGCGATAGAGACGAAGCAGCGCATCTGACCCCGGAAGTTGTTGTCCGTTGCAGGGAGACGAAGGCGGGCAAAACAGGAAAGGAATCTCGTAGCGGACGGACATTGTTCCAGGTCTTCGGTATTTGGCGGACATGTTAGTGAAGGCGGAGAAGAGGGCGAACCAGAGGAAAAACAGGCAGATTCCTCCTCCATTTACAAACTCCTGGGGATGCAACAAGTGGGCGTGGTGCGTCGACTACCGGATCTGACGTCGACGAATTTTTAGAATCGAGCCGACGACGTCATCGATGCGTCGCCACAACTCTATGTGTAATGACGTATAAATTATTGATATCAAAAAATTGTCTGCTAGAATGTTTTACATACAACACATGACTTATTTTGGCATACAAACAACCAATTTGTAACCAAAGACTAGGCTAACTAATGGGACTGCCTAAGACAGAGCCCGGAACTTAACTCTCTAAAAAAAATACCAACCACAAGTAATTTCACCCCAATCACACATGCATTTGGGGGGTGAAGTGACTCTGGAGCACACGCACACCATCAGATGGGACCACCACCAGGGCTCGACCACCAATGTCAGCTCTCAGCCTAAATGGAAAGAAAGCAAAAAGAACGGTGAAAATCCAAATCCGCACGAGCGCATGCACACACACACACACACACAGCAACGACTGAGCAGGCAGGCAGTCAGGAAATGAGCAAGCATACAGCTCGCCTGCACACGCGTTTATTAGCCTGGGCCTCAGCCGTCCTTATGAGCTCCCAGGCCGACGACAGCTGCCGGTAGGGCCCGCAGCCCCTCGTTGAAATACCCAAACCCACACCGGGTATACGCCCTCCGCTGGTATTCAGCATAGAGGAGCGAGTGTCAAAAGTCGCTCCCGATGGTCTCCGCTGATCTCGTTAACCAGCCCGAGCAGCGGGGTGGAGAGGCCTTGGAACCGGATGATGTTCCAGCACCGGGTCAACAACGGTAAACAGAGATCCCATGGAACAGTGCAGAAAAGCAGAACAACAGAGTCTCCCGTGGAGACACACCCCTTCTTGGATCACTTCTTTGAAGCACATAGGATAAAAGAGAAGCCTTCCATTACTCTGGGAGGACCACATGCAAGAATTCAGTCCGACACGCCGGAGTCCCGTACACAAAGGCACTTCACACAGGAAGCGGAAGTTGAGCCAAAGTAAAGATCGCTGTAGCGCCACCTCTGGCCCTATTTATATTAGCGCCTTCCCTCAATGATAGGTCATCCAATTACTTGGTGGCAGATGACTAATCCCACTACATAGAGATGGAAACAAGATTCTCCAAAAGCAATCTTGATCTCATGAAAGCAGTTCACTGCCTTCAACCTCAG